AAAAAAAAGTGGTAGTTTTAGTTCTGCATTTCCACTGAATAATGTTTTAGTCCAGTAACTAAAATACTTCTTTATTAACCATGACTATCAATGATTACATCAACTGCTGTCTGGCAAAGATCAAAAACATCAACCACTAACTGGGAAGAAAAGAGTCCCAACGAAACAAAGCCGAAGGAATGGAACTTGCCTCTAGTGCACTACGCTAGAGCTGGAACTGGTGCAGCTTTGCAGCACCACACATCCCCGCACAGAGAGGATTAGAGCAGCACTGCAAGCCACTCTAATTTTCTGAACCTGACAGCCTGTATGTAATGCCACATCCTGCAAAAAAAGACCACCCAGGGCTTAATGCTACCCAGGACGTACAAATTTGGCAGATAGGAGCACAAGCTACTGTGACCAAGAGGCTTTAGCAAGGACTGGATATAAGGAAGAATGTTTTTATAGTGACAGGAGTGAGACATTGGCTGAGGTTGCACAGAGAAGCTGGGAATGCCACATCCCTGCATGTGTTCAAGGACAAGGGTTGGGAGTAACCTGGTCTAGTGGAAGTGTCTCTGCCCTTGGCAGGGGGCTGGAACGAGAGGAGCTCTAACGCCTCTTCCAATCCAAACAATTTTATGTTTCTGTGACTATTAGAGTAACCCCAAGATCTGTGATACTTTGTATGTTGTGGTACTTTCCTTTCACTTTGTGAAGTTTCTTTCCTATTCCATAATACAACACACACTACAATAGTGTGAAGAGAGGAGTTCCTGACCTTTTAGTTCACAAGATAATACGGCTCTGTGTCCCAACTGAGTCTTCACTTTTTAGTCTATTTTCAGTTGGCACACCAAAGCAAGAAGCCGATGGACTCGGCCCCACTCTTGGTACCTAAGATTCACACAGTCAGCCCGCATATCTCAGCCCTCCACACTGACTCCAGTTTTTTTCTCCTTGTCCTTATTTACTGCAAATTCAAATCCGAAAGCTCCAGGCGGGCGCACAGCGGATGACACGGTGGCGCAGCCGGCGTGCACGGCACCCGCGGGATTCTCCTGCCCGAGAGGCGCCCGGTCCCGGTCCCGGGCCCGCCCCGCGGCTCTTCCTGACGGCTGCTATCGCGGCCCCGAGGGCGGCTCCCGCGGGCCGGAGCGGAGCCCGCCGGGGGCACAGCGCGGGCACCGAGGAGCCGCCAGCGAGCCCCGCGGGGCTCCGGTGTCCGCAGCGTCCCGGCAACGCGAGCACCCACCTCGTCCAGGAACTTGGTGACATCGTAGATGCGGTTGTGGATAATGATCCAGGTGCTCTGGCTGTTGTTGTGCTTCTGCACCTCCTCCAGCCGGTAGTAGCGGCCCCGCCACGGCTCTTTTTCGGTCTCGCTGGAGCCCACCATCTCCCGCGCCGTCCCGTCCCGCACCGCACCGCCGCAGCCCGACACCGCGCACACGCCAGGCCCCCGCCGCAGGCCCTATCACCACCCGCACCGCCCCGCCCCGCCCGCCCTGCCGGCTGCTCATTGGCGGATGGCAATGCCACTCAAAGCAGACGGGCAGTCTGGCGGCAGCCGGGGGCGGGACTTGTGACGTAATGCCCCGCCCTCTCCCGCCTCTCCCCGTCCCACGTGACCGGCCGCGGGGGTGCTGCCGGGGCCGTCCCCGCCGGGCTCGGCCGCGCCTCCGTCGGTGCTGGGCACCGGAGTCGCGGCTGCTCTACTGTGCACTCCCTGGGGTGGTAGTCACCCCAGCGTTCGCCACCTTTGGCAGCCGCGGGCTACGGGGCTGTCGGTGTGCGCTGCGACGAGCTAATCGCCGATTTGCAATGTAGAACCGCGCTGGAATGGTTTGGGTTGAAACGGACCTTTTAGGTCATCTAGTTCCAATTCCCCTGATATGGGGACCAATAGACAAGATTGTGCAAAGTCCGATCCAGCCAGACCTTGTACACTTCCAGTACAAGAAAGATAAGGAACTGCTGGAGAGTGTACAGCACAGGGCCACAAAGATGTTTAGGAGTATACAGCACTGCTTATGGGAAGAGACTCGGGGAGCTGTCATTCTTTTCAGTGAGACAGGACGAGGCCATAAACTAAAAAACAAGTTTCACCTTAACATGAAGACGTTTATATTGAGAGTGGCACAGATGGGCCGGATGGGGCCGGCAAGGGAGGTCGTGGAGTCCTTCTCTCTAGAGACACTCAAAACCGACCTGTACGTGTTCCTGTGAAGCCTGCTCCGGGTGACCCTGCCTTGGCAGGGGCGTTGGACTAGATCATCTCCAGAGGTGCCTTCCAACCCTAACACGCTGTGATTCAGGCTCCCTGGGCAGCCTGTTCCAGTGCCTCAGCACCCTCGCAATAAAGGTTTTTTTTTCCTAACATCTCAGCTCAATTATCCTCTGTGGTAAAGCCGGCTGGCGCCCCGGCTCGGCGAAGAGCTGCTTGTGCCCGGCTAAAGCGCCCGTGCCATGGGCACGCGTGGCGCCGAGCGCGGGCTGAGTTACACCCGGACACAGCGCGGCTCTGCCGGGGCTCTGCCCGACGCTGTGACCGCCCGAGCGCCCTGCCTCTCCTAGCGGTGTCCCAGCAGGCAGGGGCTTCCCGGGAAGTCCCACACCCTCGCTGATCCCACAGGGGGCAGTGCTCGAAGGCGGGAGGCGGCCGCTGCCGCTTTTCCCGCGCAGACCGTGAGGCGATCCCGGCGGGAGCGCCCCTGCCACAGGTGCTTCCACACAGCTCCTCTAAACCTCCCGGCTGGCTAACGAGTCCCTCGCCCCGCCTCGGGAGAGCTCCTCCGCGGGACTTGGAGCGAAGCTTCCCTGTGGCACTGCCCTGCTTGGCTGCCAGGTGGGCTGAGGGCACAGGGAGCAGTGTCTTCCCCTTCTCTCGGTGAGGCTCTCTCACCAGTCCAGCATCCTGTTTCCCTGCAGTTTTGGCTGAGGTAAAATATGTTTCCTTTGCTCTGATCTCAGATGCGTGTGATGGCTTTGTCTGTATTTCAGTATGGGTCCCCACATCCCACCGTCACGCCACGGCCAACACAACTTGGACGCCTCAGCAGCAATAACCCCATGGACACATTGAGGCATGATTATAGGCTGGATTTGTGGAGGGCTTTTTTTTTTGTAGCATAAAACTTACCCAGCGTGACGTGTCACCCTTCCTGAAAGCTGGTGCTTAACTTCTGCTCCCCGAGCCTGAGTGCAGGACAGCTGTGTGCTTCTTTGAATGTCACCACCATCTTCAGATCCCGCCTCAACTTTTCAGTCAGCCCGACAGTAAGAGTAGCTACTGTCCCTCCCATGGGTGTCGTTCCCAGCTTTGAGAAGGAGTTCTTCACTCCGACTTCCAGGTTGTTACTGAAAATTGCAAATACTGCTGCCGAGCTCTGGGCTTTAGTTGCCTGTTCAGGCAGAAAAGACAGGGATAGCCATTCCCTGACTGATGATCTGTTCAGTTTAGCAGGAGCTCAGGTTTCGAGTTCACGTGCTTTGATTATTGGCATGTAAAAGTCCGATTTCTCCCTCACATGTAAAGTCCTCTTGTTCAGAGGGCGGTTGTGTTAATTTCCGAGGATTTATAACCAGTAGTTCTTTCTTAATTGGCAGTTCGTGTTAACTGCTACTTTTCTCTTTATCCTCTCCCCTGAAGGGAGAAGCCTTTTGCTTCTGCCCTGTCCCATTAGCTTTTAAGATGTCTGGGAAGATTTAACTTAGGCTTAATACAGCTAGTTGTTTCCACAGGGGAGCCATCCTCAAACAGCAAGCAGGGCTCTGGGGCATTGCAGCATGTGTTTTGCAACATTTCTGCCACAAAACCCCCCAATAAATACTATGAAAGCCTCAGACTCAGGCTTTCTTTTCCATGGTTGCAAAAGGATGAGATTTTTTTCTCATTTGTTTAAAATTGAGCTTTCCCTTGAGCTGAAGCTTTTGGAATTCTCTGATGAAGTGATAGTTTTGCTGGCATTTTAAAAAAACCCTACTTTTCAGGACTGCCAAAAAAAATTGAAATGTGTTTTTCTTTAAGGGTAAGAAAGAAGAAAGCTTTATTTTCTTTTAAATGACAGTTATAAAACACTCATCTTGTGATTTTTCTTGGATATGATGGAGGTTAATCTGTTTAAATTGTTACACTGTAAAGAAAGCAAAGCAAAATCAGAACAGCAAAGTTATCTTTGACATTGTTCCTCAAAATATGCTTCAGGTTCATAATTGTTTTATCAAAATTTACAAAATTGCTTTCCAGGTGAGTACCTGGTGAGTTCATAAAATTTGGGATCAAAATATTTATTGCTGTCCTCACTGTGCTGGTGAGATAATTACCTAAAATTGTTTTAGGGTTTGGAAAGGGAAGAAATATTAATCCAGTTTTTTCTGGTGTGCAGTGTTCGTTCCTGGCTTTCTCGCTACCTGTCTTTCTTTGAAATATTTTGATTTAAAAAGATGCTACAGTTAAAAGGTGTATTTTTCTTCAAGTAATGAAATATTAGATTTTCTTTTTTCTCTCATGAATATTCTACCTCATTACACTGTGTCTGGCCTGTGCTGCAGGGCAAGGGAGCACACCACAGGCACTCAGCAAGATGGGTAATGTGACTTCATGTTATTCCCATTCACATGTAATTTGTTAGTACTGCATCAAAGAATCATATTCTTAGTCTGAAATTCTGGTTCTTTGGGTTCTTTTCAGTGTTTTTTGTGAAGTTCCAAAAATAACAGAATTCCATTGCATGTGCTCAGTTAATATGGCAAGGATCATACATGTACTCTGTATTCTTTTGTCCTTGTATTTACTCTGAATATTTTGGCTCTAGCAAATAATTATTTTTTCAAGTATAATGCATTATATATACAAAAAGGATATTCAGCAGTTTTATCTGACCAAATCACGTTATTTTTTCTCTATATTCTTAATCGAGAGATAATTGATTATTCATTTACCTAATAACATATAAAGTTCTGTAAACAAACACCTACTTGCTTTACAAAAATTATTTATTTTTTTTATTATAATACCCAGGTGCTGCATGAGGGCAATCAACAACGTACCATGAATAGCACCAGACACCAGTCTCTGTTCTTTGTCAGTCTGCCTGAGCTGCACAAACTCTGTGCTGCTACAGTAACACTGAGTTCTCAGATACTAGAAGCTGAGTCAAGGAGTACACAGATAAAGACTTGCAGGTAAAGAGTTTTGAGGACTATTATTTCCAGAAGCTACTAGTGGTTGTTATTCAAATATTTTATTAGCCATACTAGAATTAACTGTAATAAAATCAGCAAAATCCTTATTAGTGGCAAGAGTACAAATTGTTTAAAATAGCTTTTTTTTTTCTTGGGCAGGGGACTTGCTTGCTATTGGGGAACAAAAACAAAATTTCTATTTATGTTTTAAATTTCATAGGCTAAAAATAATGAATCCACATACTTCAAATTAGTGAATGGTAAAAATTAATCTGTGTTTATCTGTAAAGTTGGGATGCTTCATGTAGGTAGAGACTAAGTGGAAAGACTATTTGGAAAGCAGATTCTTAAGCATTCACCAAGAATTATGTTATTCTCTTTAAAAGAAAAGGGGAGAAATGAGAAATTCTGCCAAAAGGAACACTTTTGGAGAGCTCCATTAGTGTGCCAAAGGCCTGTAACCTTTGTCTTAGACCATTGTGGGTAATGTAGAGCCAGTAACTTGGACTAATCCAATTTATTATACTGAGACAATTGAAACTGATTAAAAAGGCAATGTATTGTGTTTGCAAAATGGAAGGAAAACAAATATAAGCTGAGAAAATAAAACATTTTTAATTTCTTTCTCACCTTTTTCATAGACAATTATTATTCCTGTATCAAGAGATCCTTTCTGCACCTGTTATGGGGACACTGAATCAAATTTCGGTTGTGATGGCGGTCAGTATCACTGTGTAAATAAGTATCTGTAGTTACAAACTGCTGCAGATGAGCAGAGTGCACCTCACTCAAAAGAGAGAAGCAGCACTATGTTTTATTGAGGTAAAATAATAATTTGGAAGAGTTTGATGGGTCTGATGGAATTTACAAGGTTTTAACAGTGTTCTGTTAGGTTAGCAAGGTTTTAACAGTGTTCCTGTTCATAAAACAGCAAGTTTGATGCCAAGGTTTACCTTAATAATTATGCATGGAAAGACCATGAAAAGGAAAACTGAGTTAGAATGACTCAGAGAGAGACCAGAGGTGCAAAGAGTAAAGAGATGTCAAGTTCTGTGGAGACATGAGGTTCAGAGTGGATCCCTTTCTGGAATTCTTTTTTGGAGCCTATGTGTGGCTGTATCCAATCTTTGTCTCAGATTTGGTCAACAGTTCATGCCTAATGGAATTATCCCTACAATGTTTATAGTATCTGAGTAGCTGCTTGGATTAGTAATTCTTCATAGCATGAATTCAGCATGCTTCCAGTCACTAACTGCAGATCGCAGGTAAGGGGTCTTTTGACCTTTTTTAAGGAAGGTTCTCTTAATTTCCACTATGGAATCTTTAAACTTGAGAAGAGTTCCTGCTCAAAAAAGAGTCACCTGCCATGCAGGCCAGCTGTTGTACAATCTGGCATTCAGGGAGTGCTCAGATTGGGCCCATCCTTATTTTAATAATTAAAGGGTGAAGTAGTTGGCTCTTTATCAATAGTATAGGCAAGACAGATGTCTTTGATTTAGTGCTGATAGCTCTTTCTGTACTTTGGTTATCTTGTACTTTTGGGTTTCGAAAACACCTTTTGAAATATTTTTCAAGACACCTTCACTCCTTTGTAGCCAGGGACTTTCCAGCTTGCAAGTTCATCCCAAAGATGTGAGGCCTGTTGCTTCTTGGTCAGTCATGTATGGCTAGGGGTCAATTGTATTTGTCACACATACATGTTATGTTTCTCTAAGAAGTGTTTTGTTTGAGGAGCAAGGATAAGTAAAAATATTTCACTTAAAGCAGGCTCTTTCTTTTGTGCATTAGCGGTGTAGGACAACTTAAGTCCTTTACTTTTTTGATGAAATGGCCTTTTCAGATGGTGAACCAATCTGTGGGATGAAATGGACTCAATTGGTAAGGTACCACCCAATTCACAAGAGGAGAAGCAGGTGCAGAGTGCTGCAGCTTTGTTTTGGGCAGTCTTTGGCTCACTTGTCTTGCTTGTGAATGTATCTTTAGCTAGAAATGAGATTGCATGATGACAAATACCTGAGCTGATTTTAGTTTTCTCCTTTAAAACACAGGATAAAGTGTTTGCTTAACTCTCCCCTTGCATGATTTTCAAAGGCAAAGTTACTGTCATACCAGAATTTAATCTATGCTTAATGCCAAAATCTTGATTTATTTTTTATTGTTATTTTTAGATACCATTTTACGAATCAGGAATATGTCAAGCCTATGTAGAGAGACATGGAGCTGCTGTAAGTGCTGAAATATGACAGAGTTCTTTAGGCTGTTATACTTGTCTGCAATTGCTGTTGCCAGAAGTGTTTTTCATAGGCCCTGCACTTTGCACTACAGAAGCCGAGTTTCAGGGTTAGTAATTCCACCCCATAGACAAAATGTGTCCTGTGAATTGGGCATGGTAAATATACTTTGTCAGACTCAATAGTTTTAAGAAGTTTGGGATCAATACCTCTAGATTTTCTGCTGAAGTGGCATCCTGGTCCTGCTCAGAGGCATTGGGGACTGATCTTGAGACAACCTTTGGGCCACAGACCTGCAGCTCTCCTGCTGGTGTCATGCCCTTCATCCAGCAGGAATGTTCAGGCAGCTGAACTGTACAGGTTTACCCAGCCTGTACAGGACAGTCTCAGGGAAACCAAACAAAGGCATAGAGAAGAAATGGAACCCCTCAGCTTAGCAGCTGATATAATTTTAGACCACTATGCGTATGATTTACTATCTTCTAGTATGCAACATCTATGGAGTTTATGAATGTACGTGTGGATGCACTAAAATTGGTGAGTCAGAAGACTGATTGTAGCCAAAACCAGTAGCTCTCTTCATGTGCACAGCCAGCTGGCTGTACCTTAATTTGTTCCAATTAGTGCAAATGCATATGCAGATTAGTAAGACATACATTACTGAAATATGCTTACCTAAGAGAACTGCTTTATGTTGTTGTGTGTAGGTGATGTGTCATTGTTAGGTTTTTCAACACCAAGCAGTTCCTTGCAGGATTCATTAGAAACATTCTTCTGGAGGTGTATTACTTAACTCTTTTTAACCTGCTGTAGTTAGTTTCTTGACTAGTGCTGATGATCAAGAGAAAACTCTTCAGAACAGGCAGGCAAGTAGAGCTGTAGGATGAGCAAACCTGCATTTATCTACTATGATTGCCAGAAAATGTGTCTGGTCTTGACTCTGACAGCAGAGGTAATGTCAGCTTTGCCTGGAGGGAGTTGCATATCTAATATAGTACTTCAGAGGGTTCAATTAATCTTTTCCCCAAGTCTATTATCAGCCCTGTGAAAGCATTCTAGGAACTGTCATGCACCTCACTTTAATGGCACATGAAATCCAAATGCCGACATCAAGTACTGTGCTACCTTCTTCTTGAAGCGAAGTAGATGAAAGCTAAACATGTGTGGCATATACTAGAGTTTGGCTCCAAGATGAAGTAGCAGTATATTTGCTTAAATTTTGACTGAAGCCTTTAAAAAAATCTGTTAAATTATTAAAAATGTATGTTTATTTTGTCACTGTTTTATTAGCTGGAAGCACCACAAACAGTTACTCCAGCCCTTCTCCAAACCTGTCTCTCCTACACACTTACAGCCAGGCTTGCACCCAGATGGAACAAAGCTGGTCATCTCTTGGTGCAAGGTATTTGACTCAATTCGGTCAGGGATCAATGATTTAGTTTTCAGTTCTTTATTGTAGCATTTGTTTTCCATCATTTAAATTCCATAATTGTTTCATCCATTAATAATAAATTGTTTCATTCCATTATAATATTACTTTTTTTCTTTATTTGAATTGTTGTCGTTTTGTTATCCAAGTTAAATGACTCAAGTTAATATTCTGAATGGACATGCCATTCACATTTTCATCTTCTTCTTTATCTTTGTAATAAATCGAATAACTATGTCAAGTGAATGCAATGTACCAGATGAAACCAAATATTGCTGGACAGAGAACATCTTCTAAAAATGTGGCTGGTTTTTTTGACTCATGCTTTCAGCAGTGACACTTCTGCACAGGATTTGTAGGCTCTTCTAAACAGAAGTAGTTTTCTGTCAGACCCTCTTCTTCTACCAAGCTCTGTCTTTTTTGGCTCACAGTTGCTTTGCCTGACATCTCTGCTAACTCCTGTGTGTAGCAGCCTAAATTTACAATACCTGTGTAGTATAAATGTGAATTACCAAAGTATAAAAAACTGTAGTGTGCTCATAATAATTAGAGCAATTGTATACATAATTTCAAATATGTGCTGATAAAAGTGTGCATGTGTTATCTTATTTACAGCCACAACAACAACAGTATCCTGTTCTCAGTATCTTCAAAATATAGGTGTATGAGATTGAAATCAGCTGATTCAGGAGTAGAGGCTAAGTAGAGGATTAGGAGGAAAAAGTGGCATATAGATTGCTGCCTACTAATATACCTTTACATATCTCTCTTTCTTATAGATGTTAATGAATCAGTGAAAAGTTAATTGATAGAGGGGATTTTATCTCCTAAAAAGGAATACACTTTCAGCATTTGTGATAGACACAAACAAAACTGTGGTTTCTCCTTTTCTCTCTCTTTTTTTTTTTTTCCACATCAAGATTTTAGACATGTGGTTTTGAAAATAATGTCTGTCTATTCTATTTATTAAGGGAAAGACTTTTTGTCTCATTCAGGAAGGCAAAATGCTGTTGGTAAGTACAATATTCTGTTAATGGTAAAGTTGAGAGAGCAGGGTAAAGTTAAGCACTTTCCTACTGCCACAATCTTGGTATTAGCAGCTCAGAGTCTTTGGTTTTCATTCTGAAATTACTTCTGTCAAAATACTCTTGGTGGCAGGTAATGTTCTGCCTGTAATAGTTGTCAGCTCAACTGAAAAATTACTCACGAAGAAGATAATTTTTATACTATTAATCTACAGCTGTAGACTGACATTTGCCATTTTGAAGTTATAATTATTGCAATTAAAGTCACTTGCCATAAATTAAGAGTCTTGCAAGTGATGTGAAAGTTCCATAGTAATAGATAGGAAAACGAGCTGTGGTGACTGTCCAGTACGTACTGTTTGCTGTTCACAAAAGTCACAAAGCATGCTGGTTAGCTATTGCAAAAATTACAAAGTAGTATTGTAGTTAAGATTATATTTGGCAATATTGGAGCCTAAATCTGTAGCAGAGATATATGCTGAAGAACCCAGAACTGAGTGAAAGTTTTGGCGGTGTGTCCATAAATGCTTGCCTTGCTCATTTAGTCTTTCCTATTGACAGCTCCTGGATGGAAAATACTGTGCTGAATGAGTCAGTGCAGAAAATGGTTATATGAACTACATTTGCTTTGAAAATGGGTGTTTGTTTGTCAAGGATATGAGGATCAAGCACACAGTTGCACAGTTTTGAGTTTCTGAATTACTGTATGACACTAATTCATTATTATTTTTATTTTTCACAGTTAAAATGCACCTAATTTTAATTTCTGGGCTGAGAAAGTCTAGCCTTTTGATTTTCAAACACAGCATTTTGACTAACAATTACCTTAAATAAATATTTGGGTAAGCTTTCTGTCTAAGAGATGAGCTGTAATTCAAAATAGGGCATTGTGCTTTTTTTTTTTTTTTTTTCCTTTTAATTTAGTTATAGACCTCAATGTGTCAGAGAGACAGCTTTGCATCAGTGTGGAGCCTTGCTCAATTCGACTGCCACCCCCTGAGGTATAAGCCTGTTATATTTTCTATGACTGTGTTTGTTTTATTGATCCTTGTCTTCTTTTCTGCTAGGTGACTTCCAGTTAGCATGATGGGCATAGAAATGCTTATTTCTGATTGCATTGAGACATTAACCATATTCCCTGACCATCTGCACAGGTTATAAAAGCATAAAATCCATATTGTATCTGTATTGATGCATTTTATCAAGTGTAAAACTGAGATTCAAAATGCTTTCAAAAATGCTAACAGAATATAGCACTGAGGGGTCTTTGTGACTCTAGATTTCCTTCTAGCAGTGTTTTCTAGAAAGCTTTCAGTCACACTGCAGTACACAGACAGTTTTGAGTAAAAACAGAGCAACTACAGGTGAGTTGTTGGCGCCATGTTCAAGGTCCTTTTATATAGTTATTATGAAATCTGCTTCATTTCTATACAGCTTCCAAAATATTGGAGCAGCTGGGACTATGCTGCTTGTAAGTTTAATTTATTCATTGTTTAAGACAACACAGTTGAGGTTGAAAACTTATTATCCTTTCTGACAGCCATGCCACCTGTGGTGAGTATATCCATACATGCAGGGCGTATTTGTCAGGTTTGCTGCTTTCTTCTAAAATACATATTTCTGATCCAAGCTCTTTTTTTGTTGGAATGGAAAAACAGGATTTCTTCTGAGATCTGCTTGGGACAGCATGAATATTAAAGCTATCTATAAGAAGCCAGTTCTCAAATTATATAGACCAATGATGGAAAAGATCATGATGTGGCTTTATTACCAGATTGATCCTTTCAATACTTTTCTAAAACAGAATGGCCAGATTTTCTTCTCAGTGAATAAATGCAAACCCTCATAGATTGTAGAAAGATAAAATGTTTCTCAAATTTCTTGTCTTTGATTGTTCCCTACAGTCAAATTCAGACATTGTGAAAAAGTGTGGTGGTTTTTGATTTCTCAGAGGATGAAACTGCATGTTCCATTAATTCTGTTCCTTGGATACTTGCACATGTTTAGACAAAGTGACACACACAGTTACTATAATGTCGAGCATGGGTATCTGATTTGAACTTTTTAAAAATGCGTGTTGAAGTGAGACAGCTCTCAGTTTGAGAAATTCCTTCTATACTCTCATTAAACCATTTCATATAAAGTTTTAATCTCTCTGATTTCAATAGACTTTAAACCTTGTACTTGCATGGCTTGTGGAAGTGTAAGCTCTAACATAAGATAGTGTGCAATTTGATGACAGGAATATCATCTGAAATAATTTTTGAGCACTGATGGAAGAATGATAATATATCAAGTTTCAGTGTATCATGATACACAATTATTTTTGAAGATTTTAAATTTGTACTGCTGTAGAATTATTTGCAAATAAACTTTCTTTTCTGTTTTAAGCTGGGAGATTTTGATATTTCAGCAAATATCGTAAAACTGTTTGACAGCAATGAAAACACAGTTATTCAGCAACATTCCATACTAAGTAACTGGTGCTATGTTTTGCCAAGGTAGGAATCTGTTCACATTTCAGCAGAAATAAACATTTCTTGAAATGTTTGCCCTACAAATTCTGAATTTGATGCTAATGATAAGAACTCTTCTGTTTTACAATCTGTTTTAAATTCAGGCATTTTTTCTTTTTATTATCTCATTGTTAAGGAAAATAAGAAAAATTAATCAACAAATCATAAATTACACATTTAAATACTATTTCAATTTACTAATCTTTGTGATACTTATATGGTATGCAAGAGCATCAGGTTTTTTTCAAATAGAATTTTACCAGAAAGTCAATTTAAAGAAAAAGTATTTCAACCTTTGCCATGAACTACCTTCATTTTTATCTAATATTTTTCATTATGAAATATAGGAGAAGTAATAATGATATTTCCTTTTATTCTACATTCACTGCTAGCGAGTTTTGAAGAGAAATGTCACTTGTAGTTGTCACTTTATTCTTTACCATACTTCAGAAAATATTGAAATTGTTATGTCATAAACTTGTGAGCTAAAGGTATTAGTCCTCAAAACATAAAAATAATCTCTAAATACTTTGAATGCCAAAAATAAGATATTTTTTTTCCTCCAAAAAAACCAGTATATTTTCAACTGGATTTTATGACAACCTTTCTAAGCAGCCCTTCTTTATCTGTTCACAGCATGAAAATGGGTCAAATCATAAACATTAGCCACATAATTCCTCCAGAATCTCCTTTCCGTTCATATAAGGATTTTCAGATGCACTGGAAGAGTCTGGTAAAAAACACATACACTGCTTTCAGTTTTTTCCCTCCCTTTTTTGTTTGCCTATTGAGTTTGTCCTTATAATACCTGTTTTTGTTTGGTTTATCTAAGTATGGATATATTCTTCCTGAGGATCTTGAAGAGACAAAAATATACTTGAGTGTTTACTTCAAACCAATAGGGGAAAGATTCTTCACGTATCCTTTCAGAACATATATGTTATGTTTCCTCTCCTACAATTCTAGCAAGGGTCTGCTTTTTATTTTTGAGTGTGCCAGATTTCCTTCTTTCATAATTTCACAGCAGTCAGTAGAGATGTGTTTTAATAGAAAAATTGAAACAAAATGTTTAGTCAAGTCTCTGTCCCAGTATTGAATAATCAGAAGTCAAATAGAGCGATTTATTTCATGGCTTCCATAAATGTGATAATGCCACTTTAAATGTGATGTAAAAGGGAGTGGTGTAAAAGAAAGTCAAATTGTGTAAAAATGTGACCAACAAAAATTGCTTTTAAAGAGAATTTTCCTGCCAGGAAACACTAGACTAAGGGTTACTTATATTGATTAATCTTTGCTGTTATAGGTTAGCGTAGTATAATTGTGCTGAAGTCCTGTAACTTTATAAACTTCAGGCCCATAAGGAATCAAGTGATTTTGTTCACCTTGTAAAAAAACCCCAACATTTAGACAAACTTATGATTTCTTCTCAAAAGAATTATTAATAATTATAGAAATATAGAGAAACTTGTTACGTATCCTTGAACACTTTCTCAGGTACCCTTTAAATTGCATCCGACGTCAGCCAGTGCAGTATTTCCCCAGAACAGATGCAGAAAGTGTAGTGAGCTCTTTTCTTTCTGACATGAAGAGCAATTTTTCACAGCTGTGTGGATTTCCAGTAAAGATGACAAGTAAAGCACTTTATGCTACAAAGGAACTCTCCAGGGCTTCAGTGCATGTAAGGCTTTCTTTATAAACATATTAATGGCACATACTTTTTCATTGCATGAAGTGGTCTTTATCATATTCAGAGCACAGTAAGAGCATATAACTATGCTTTTCAAAACAAACTATCAATCCTGTAACTTTTAATTATCATGTAAGTAAAAGCTACAGCATTTGCCATTGTAAAGTTGTTATTAACCTTATAAAGTTATAAATACATTTTAAAAATGGACTTGGTGTAAATTACTTGCTATCAGTATTTGCAATTCCGTAGATTTTTTTTTTTTTTTTTTACATTTGGATATCCAGAACTTTCTCAAATCTCTTCCATAGTAATAGAAACAACAGTAAAAACAACAATAATAACAGGTGAGGCACTGGAACAAGTTGCCTAAAGATGTAGATTCTCCATCTCTGAAATTGTTCAAGGCCAGGCTGGATGGGGCTTTGAGCAACGTGGTCTGGTCAACGTTGTGGCAGTGTGGCTGGAACTAGATGATCTGTCAGGTCCCTTCCAATCCAAAACAATCATGTTTCTATTATTATTACCAGAAGAGTAGCAGTATTACAATTTATTTAAAAATAAAAAGAGGACTGTGTGGACATAAGCATTTTAAAACACTCAAGGTGTAAGATTTACTCCAGATCTGGTGATGAAAAGGAGACAAGTAATCAAAACTCCTATATTTGGAGGTAGTGACGAAGGCTAAGGCTCAAATTTCTTTGGTAGTAGTGTGTGAAAGAAGAAACTAAGTAATTAATTCTGAACAAATAAGAGTGACAGAAGTTGCAGAGGTTCTAAAATAATATAATCCTCTTTCAGAAAGCAGATTCTGTTTATGTCTCTCCAGTGATCAAAGGTAGAATGGGTCCTCTGTGTCATCTGCAGTTTTATAGACATCCAAACTGTCTTTTGCTCAGAATACAGATGCTCTTAGAAGTCTTAAGAGATGAGAAGCCCTGTCAGTCAAACCCTCTGTAGAACTCCTCAAAAGGAGTAGACATTATCCAGTTGGAAAGCACTAAACCAAGATAATTAGTGTAATTTAAGTCTTTCCTTCTGAGAAATACGATATTCTAGCAGAGTGTGTAAACAAATAACTCGGAGAGGATAAAAAAAAACCCCTTAATTTATAGTGACAACTAAATATTGTTTTAAAATATTCCACTCCAAACCACAACATTTTATTCTTATATGTTGTGATGTCTATTCAGTTGATACCATATAGCAGTGCATTAGGTGGCACTATTAGATCGTTAAATACAGTTTATTCAATTTAGCAGCTCTTGATGTGTTGCAGGAAATAAAACCTAAGCATACGAAACTGGACGGTGAGATGGTTTGTGCAGCATCTCTAACGCAGGCTCCTCCAAGAAAACCTACTTTGCGTGAAATTTCTCCACCGTGCAGTACGGAAAACAGCCACTGGATGGAGTATTTGATCAAAGAGCCTGGAACAAGCAATTTGTCGAGTAGCAGTAGCAGTTTTTCGAGTACAGGAGGGGTTAGCATTGAAGCAGCAGAGAAATCAATGAGCAATAAGCAAATGCCAGGCGTTCCACAGTTACCAACTGCAAAATCTTTAGGAACACCTGTAAACTCAGCCTTTGAAGCCACGCTTCCAAAAGTCAGCAAAATTATACCAATTTTCAAAGGAAAGTTGATGCAAATGAATGGAAAGATCAAAAATCAAACAGATAGGAAGGAAAATGCTGAAAGGCATTCACCAATAAAAAGTGTGGGTGTTTCGTCTTCTATGCCAACTATGCACAAATCCAGCATAACTCAGATTTTCAAGCACATTCAAAATATGTCAGTCAAAACTTCTACTGACAGCAGCATGCTTCAGGTAAAGAACATGAAGATACACACAAAACATGGTACACCCATATTCCAATGGAAAACCCAGTCTAGTGGACAAATGGCTAACTCTGATTTTTCTGAAAACTCAGCTTCAGGTGGGAATCCGCGTGAAGTCAATCACAAAAAGGCAAATTCTCCATTCTTTCTTAAGAATTTTGGGCCAGTGCTTCAGAAATCAGACACCAGTCCATGTCTGAATACACATGAATCTTTTAGTTCCAGTGCAAGAAGGGGGAAAAAGTTTACAAGTCAAAATACTGCTCAATTTCTTGAGAAACAACACCAATCAATGGAAGTGCATTTGCAGATTTGTAAATTAGATCGTGAAATGACAATTTCCAGTTTGTCACTGCAACAAACAAAGACATCAAATAAAGGATCTGGGTTAAATATTCATGAATCTGTCTTCAAAGATACAGTGTGCATGGCCAAGAGTGAAGGAAACAAAGCAGCATACCACTCTAAGGACTGTACTACTGTGACAACCAGTCATCATTCCAAATCTAACTTTGAACAGGTAAAGGGATCATTCTCATTGCTTCTCACAAATTCAAGAACAACGTTAAGCAATAAAGAGCATGACTTTCATCATGTTCTACCATCATTATCAATATAGTTTTCTAAAATTCCACCATATAACTTAATGTTTTCAGCCATTGCTGCTTTTTTTTTTTTTTTTTTTCTGAAAGGGAAGATGATTTACTGTGTTTTTTTTAAATAAACAGTTCTTTAATTTGAGATTTTTATGGTGGGGTAATCAGTTTTCCTTTGCTTTAGACAGTTTATCCAGGTCTGTGTGAGGTTAACATGGTGACATTTTTTTGGTGTTCATTCTTCATATAAGACCATATTAATGGAATAATTCCTTCCTCCTGGAAGGAATCTCAAACCTCATCAATTGTGTATTGCTGACAGCAGTTGTGTGTAAGGCATTGTGCTGTTAGACAAACGTGGAAGTTTTGCAAATACAAGTTTAATTACAATTTCAAAAAAAGCACAAGTTGCAACAGGAAAAAATCCCTCTGGACATGAGGAAAAAATCCTCAGTGTGAGACCAGCTAGTCAGCTACTAGAGCAAGTTGCAGAGAGAGGTTTTTGGGTTTGCTAGCCTTCCATATTCTCAGAACTTCACTGAATGGGACCCAAAGCAAGGTGGTCTATCTTTTTAAGTTAGCTCTATTTTGAGTAAGAGTTATGATTAGGTGACAGCTAGAAGTACTTTACCGCCTAATTTTTCTGTGCTTCTCCCTGCATTTCAATTAAAAAAATAGTTCAGCTGATTTCAGTGTAATCTTTACAAGGATGGTATTCCATATATTGGGTACATGGATGAAATGTCTTGGGCTTATCATGTTTTCCATCTATACAATGTAATTTGGTGGGTTATCTCAGCTTCGTGTGATGAGAGCACCTTTTGAAAAAGTAGGTAATTTAAAAAGTTAGAGATCTTGTTCAAAATGTTGTGGGGTGTTTTTCTAATGAAGGTATAAACTTCTCTGCTTTAAGATGATTACATGGAACAAGTATCTGACATGTGAAACACTGACCTCAAAACCGACTTTGCCAGTCAAGGAGAGCAACATGGAAGCATCTGTAAAGAAAAGCTGTGCCAGAAGAAGACAGGTAAACCCCCCCCCCACACACACACAAATACACTCCTTAATCCAGTCCAGAAGGACCTGAATTAAGAGACAAAAAAGATATTTAAAAATTTCTAGTATGCTCCAACTAAAATGGGCAGGCTAAGAAGTCTTACTGACCTCTCTGGATAAAATTAACCTTAACCAGGATAAAGGTAACAGTAACCATTGGGTATGATACTGTTGCTTGAAGAGTTCATTTTAAATGTTTGTCTCCAGCAAAAGCTGCTACTGAAATGTTTAATGATGTTACTGCTTCTGAAGCAGATTTTATGATTCTACAGAAAAGTTCAGTCCTGCCAAATATAACCCTGGGCATTCTCAGTGGCTCTGTGAGATTTTCATCTCAAGGACTTGAATTTAGCAGCATTCTGTAGAATTGCTTTTTGTTTTGTTATGCTTTTAAAGCCAAGTACAAGGCAATTCAGGATGTTTTGACTGTAATTAAAGGAACACAGTCTGTGCTCTCCGTGCAGATCAGAAAAGGCCAGTGTAGCAGCCCCAGGGGCCTCCTGCAGGAACACACTCATACCCCAGAGCTCGAGCTGCAGCAGGGAAGAGAGGAGTCAGTGTGGGAAGCGCCAGCCCAGCTGCTCTGAGCTGGCCCCGTCCAAGTGCAGCTGGGAAAGGCCTTTCCACAGGGCCACAACCAAGTCAGTGGTTACAGGTCCAGCACTGTAGTGCTACAGCAGTAGAGTCACTCTCACAAAGAGAAAAAAAAACAGCAACTAAAAATAGCTGTTTATAGGAATAACACCTCCAGGGGTCTGGGTATTGAGAGGAGACTTCCACCACAATGCGAACTAATGAAGTCTTTGCCTGCCTCTGGGAATGACTCAGACACACCAGGACTTGTAAGCTTGGAGAGCTTGTAGCTGCTCTGGCATCACTGTTGGAATGGGGAAGAGGCACTGCCCTGTCCTAGTCAGGAGTGACTGGTGCCCCACGCATTCCTCACTCTCCAGGTAGGCTGTGAGTAGCACAGGTACCTGCCTGAGCCCTGCAAGCTACTTTTGGGAAACATCAGGACACAGCAAATTCTCACTGTCACACTTTCACTGCAGTGCTGCCACTGCTAGACTCAGGAGAGGTGGATGCAAGGCTCTCAGGAAGTTTCATTGGTGTGTCAGGAATAGAAAAGAGGCTTGTCTGTTAATTGGGGTCAGGATGGACTCTGATGCTTATTGGGCTGATTCCTCCTGTCTCCCCTATTAAAATATAATGGTGATAATTGGGGACACTGCTAAACACATCTCTGAAGAATAAGCCTTTGTCACTACTGATCATCAGAAATGATAGTTGGTTTTGAAAGTCATGGTTACCAACATGTAAAGGGTATTTTCACAGTAGCCATGTTCCTAATTATTCAACCGCTGTACTTATAAACATACTTCAAATTATTTATCTTGGAAAACAGAAATTTTTATTAATTGCTTCTTATTCAACTAAGAATTTCACTCAGAAACAACTTTTTTTAGTTGAACTTTTAGCTTAGTATTGCTGTGTTATTGGCTTTTGCCCTTTTCTGTTTGTCTTGTTTTTGTCAGCAGAAAGAAGAAGGTTACTCAAAGTTAAAGAGAGCCAAAAGAAGTAAAACTTCTACTTAAGGTGTTCTGGAGCCTTGAAAGAAAACTCTGGGTATGTTTATTAGAAATTGAAAATATTTTCTTTCATTAAAATAATATTGCATATACCTGTAATAGTTCCTGCGCTATTGGATCATGATGATGGTATCAGCTGTCTACAAAAGAATCACTTTATGATAGAAATGGCTTCTAGAGCAAACTGATGAGGTAACTGAGGTAACTAAATTCCAAAGGACACTAGCAAATAAAACTTTGTGCTTTTTTTGTGAAACAAGCAATGTTAAAAAAAGGCATTTTGTATTTCCTAGAACTTAGAGTTTGACATAAATTTGTCAAATCATTTTTGAGTGGCTCATTTTTCTCTCAGATTAAAATAAACCTGCTTTTTGGGCTTCAAAGTTTCCCTTGAATGCAAGCTGAAGTTAAAACCAGAAACCATTAAAGTGGAGCTGTGTATATTATTTGGTATCATTACAAGAAATGTGTCTAAATGCTCTTGTGTTGCTAAGATCTAATTACAGGACAAAACTGTCTGTCATAAAAACTGAATAAATTTAGTTTTGTTACAAGATATTTTAACCCACATTGTGGGTGGTTGTCAATAATAGTCTTGCAGGGTAAAACAAGCTTGTCCTTTGAATGTTCCTTTGAATATCGAGAATGCAGCATTAGGACATTGTATGAGAAGCTCACCAGGTTGAAGGACCGAGTGCTTATCACAAGTTATCAGTAGTAAAACATGCAGGGAAGGGTAACCTATGCAGTTAACTGTTTCAGAGGTCATTGGAAATATATTTATTCAGATTAAAATATTGATGTAAGCAAGATGGTCACACAGAACAGCAACAAAAAAAATGTATCTTATAGAAAGCATATAGAAAGACAGAACAATAAAGATGTGAAATATAAACTGTACATCTTTTAACCTGGCTTTTAGCTTTGATGGAAGTGATAACAAAGTAGCCAAATATGCATTTTGTCTCAGAGATGCACTTTGTCCTTCCTTTCCTTGTTGGGATATATTTCCTCCAGTGAACAAATATATCAGTTGTCTGCTTTTCCTAAAGAAAGCCTCTGGTATGGATGGAAGCTTTCCATCTCTGGCCTTCAGCTTTGGTATTTGGCATATTCCATTCCTGGGTTTAGCATTTCATCTCTCCTGCTTCAAGCCAGGCATGATCCTCCTTCAGAGGTGATCTGTTCTAGTGATCAGCACTGATATGCACAGGTCCAAAGTCTGTGACTTTGACTGAGGACTGGTGAGCAGAAGTGGTGTCTCTTTGAATGGCCAGAACTTTACTTTTTTTAGCTCTGATTTTTTTTCTTATTTATGAGTTAAATGCCATAGCATCAAGTTGATCATGGAAAACAATGCTTAAAACCCTGAGGGAAAATAGTGTTTTCCATATAGTATTTAAAATATGATTTCCAAGAATCCCACTGATAAGGGTTCTTCATTGGTGTTGATGATTTAAAAAGAAAACTAGAGCTAAAACAACTTCTGCTGTTGGACTCTTGCCTACAGTTTTGGTTCTGTAAAGCTGGACTCTAAATTTCTTTATTATGTAGTACTACACATGCATTCAGAGTGCATGTTTTCATTTGAACACTTGGGAATTTCTTGTGAGTTTTCCAATTTGCTGTGTAGCAAGATTTATGTGTGAGAAGTCCTTATACTGGAATTCAGTGATGTAGTCAGCAAAAAGGACTTAGCTCTATAATTCATGACAAAAAAAAAGCATTTTTTAAAATTATCTTGCAAAAAGAGCTGGTTTTTATGACTTAATGTGCCAAATTACACAGCCTCTTGACTTGTCCAGGAAATCACAGCATAATCCTAATATTTTTCTTTGTTTTGTTGGAGTGTATTAATAAAGAAATGTGAGAGAAGTATTAAACATTTGAAGAAGCTGAACATTTGATTCTAACACTAACAGTCTCCATGCTTAGTTCTTTACTAATAAAAGTCACCCTATCGTTTTCACAAACTACTGCGAATGGGAAATTGTTTTCTAAGACAAATCAGAAGAGCAGAGCTTCCAAAGCACAGCATATACTACTACAGAAAGATGTTTTTAAAAAAGCATTTGCAGCATTGCACTTGTTGGTGGAAGAACAGACATATTAAAAATGTCAGCTCTGAAGCTTCCAAGCTTTTTCCACTGATCTGCAAAACTCTTCCTGTTGTTCCGCTCTTGTGTTGTAGTGAGATACTACTTACCTCTGGTTTCAGTTGACAAATTTCATTTAGCAAATGAGGAGATACAAATTCATCACAGACAATAAAAATAGCAGGATTTCACCTGAAAGTATTTGCTGCTATTACTGAAAGGATATTGTGTTAATATAATAGTAAGGTAGGAGATCCACACAATTGGAATTATATTAAAAATTCTCAGCAGCTTTGGGCTGAGATCTATTGGACTGTTTCTTCTAAAAGGTGCATCCTTCAAGCCAACATTTAGGAATTTATTGATTTTAGGGATTTATTAATTTGAAGGTTATTCAACAAAAATTTTAAAAAAGCTGTCTTTGAAATTCTTTCTTCATGTGAAATAGTGGGCTAAAATAATATCTTTCCTATGTAGTGAAAATATTTGGCTTCATTTAAAAAAGGATTCAGATCATGTTTCAATGAAAAACCAATTTATTTTATGGTGGGAGAAAATATCCCAATCAAATCTAGCAGCAGAAATAACCTTTAGACTGTGTACATCAGTAGGTTGCTGGTACCTTAGTACCCAAAAAAGAGTTGCTATTGTAGTATCTTTTTCTGTTATCCTGTCCATTTTCCATTTCTGTGGGATTGATTCGGGTTAGTACTTAATTTATTGCATAGTTGACCATTCATAAATGCTAAAGAATGATATCGTAAGATTCCTTCTCTTACTTTCTTGTAGAGTTAAGAATGTGGTTTAACTGCCTGACCTCAGCCAAAGGTTAAGAAGGTGTGAATAGACTTCTGCAACAGAAGTTGCTTCTTCCAACACTACAACTGTCTGTGATATTATGAGGGCTTTAAATCTAAAAAGCCAAGATCTAAGAGAAAGGATAAATATCCTTTATGCATATATGTGTACATATATGTGCATAATGCCCTGTATTTATGATGGAGAGAACTCTTTCTTGTTCGGTATAAAAATGCAGAGATTTAATTTGAATGCCCTGAACCCAAACTTTGTAAACAGAATGCAAATACAGATGTGGGAATACAGCAATATTTTTTCCTTCATATTAGCTATAGAGTTCTTAGTTGCCATTTGTTTTCTTCTACAATGTAAACTTTTTCTGTGTTTTCCTCCATTCAGGTTCCAAAGAGGGCAGTAACATACTCGAGAATCTCTGAACTTCATGTATTTTGCTCTTTGTCATTGGTAGATGTTTCTGGAAAAAATTTTGAGGGTTAAATACAGTCAAGTGAATCCATGTATCATCAACTTTTTCAGAGAGTTCAGGTTAATAAGCCTCTAATGCATTTGAAAATTTAACTAAATTGTTTAGTTTTTGAATCACGTTATGTATGTCACTTCATTTTTCCAAGTTGGATTTTTCCTACTACTATGGCAATTTTTGTTTTGTTTTGTTTTTCTCTTGAATGGTGACTGTCAACATAGCTCTAATTTCATGTTGCCAGTCTTTAAAATGAAGTGAGCTTTTCAGCAACATTTCATTTTCTCCTACATAGTAAATGAAAAAAAACCAAACAAACAAACAAAAAAAAAACAACCAAGACAAATAATAAAAGAAGTTAGTGCAATATGCTCAGCAAGAAATTAAATTATATCTACATTTTGTCTGGAAGCTGGTATACAAGGCTACTTTTCAAATGCTCTGGTTTAATCACCTTTCATAGGTTTAACTGCATGTAACTGATCTTTTTCCTGTCTTACATGGAAAAGCCTGTAGATTAGTTGCATTTCTGCCATGCTATATAAATTAGTTCTTTGCCTGATGTTTCCTATTGCTTTTAAAATGCTGCTGTTTGCCAACATTTGTCTTGTATTATCACAGAAGTAATTTTGCACTATTTTTGCATTTTTAAATGTTTACTACATTTTGTGTTATCTGTTATAAAACTGAAAATATAGTAAAATTAATTTATCTCAGCTCCAGTGTGTTCCATTTAAATAAACTATCGAGTTACTCCTCTGTGCTAAATTGCCAGCTACTTCCTGGTCTAAACTGTGGGGAAGAATCTTGTTACTCCACCCCACCCACCCACTCCTTGTAAATGCATGGGAAGGTGTTGATAGTGAGTGGAACCGTGCTGGGTGCAGGAGTGGTGGTGGGGGAAATGCCACTAGTGCTGTGAGTGCCTTGGGAGGATTTGGTGATGCTGAAGGGACTTACTCCTCATTAGTGATGCTGCTGCCTTACTCTCCACTGTTTATGTGTTAAAGCCCACCTCAGTTTCTGCTTTTAATCAGTTCTCACTAACTGGGCAGAACACCCTCACTTCTGGCAGGTGCCAGAACCTGTCAAAGCGCAGGAACCTTCAACATCCAGGATCACATGGAGCTCCCACGTGTGATATCTGCGGGCTAAGTTTCTCAAGATTAAAGAAACAGACATTCCACAGGTCCCAAAATATATAAATGTAATAGGAACAAATGAAAATGTAGAAGGTTAAAACAATTCCCAGGTGTGAGAAGCTGGTGAAGAAGTCAACTGGCAAAAATTTTCACTTGCCCATTGATATCCGATGGGTTTTATAGTGTTTTATAGCTTTGCCATCAGTTCTCAAATCATCTGATTCTATAGCTAAGTCAGTTCAGATTTACATTTGCCAAAGCTTTCTTTGGCCTCTGTATTAGAGGATTCAACAATAATTTGTTGAGTTGAAGTATTCATGATGAGCTCACAATATTTAGTAAATATGCATTTCCAGAGAGTGATCTTTCCTCACGTGTATTCCTAAGCTGAGACTGTTCTTATCCTCCCTCATCTTCACAGATGTAAGCCAGAGGGAATTTTTATGTACTTTAAATTGGCGTACGCTCAAGCCTTCTTTCAAATCTCAATTTAAAAGTTTACAGATTATTTTATAGGTGCTTATAACTGCAGGGAAGCTCGCTGTTTAGTTCTTTTGGTGCCAGCTTCATACCAGCTTGTGGTTCAAACCATATGGTTTAAAATAATTCCACAGATTAAGATCTCTGGAAGTATTATGTCACTGTATCACAAAGTAACTTAGCAAATACAGCACTTTAAGAACTTTGGGCTGCGTGTTTTGTTGCACCAGCATGATCATCCTACCTTCATGGAGAACCAGGTACTGAAGAATTGTGGCCTATCCTGAACTAGCTCAGGAAAACATCTTATCCTAGCCCTAAAAACCATAGAGCATTCTTCTGTCTCTGCAAATCTGAGGGGTTCTGTTGACCCATGCACAGCATGAGCAGCAGCTCAACCTCTCACTTAAAAATTTGCAGCCAGGATGAGCAAGTCTGTTTTCCCTTGGATCTGTGCAGAACTCGATGCAAATGCTGTACTTCTTATCCCCCCAGGGTAGTGTTAGAATCTGGAACAAGGCTGTCCAACTTTGCTGGAAAATATGTGAAAACTGTTTTCAAAGAGCTTACAGATCCACCAGGAACACACGCAGATTCTTGCAACCATTTTTTTATTGTTCAAAACAGTGACAACAAATTTCTCATTTAACCCAATATGTAGAAGGGATTTAAGCTTGTTCCAGTGGGAGAAGTTCAAAAGTATTGAAGGTTAATATGTCTGATCTTCCTGCAGGAAGCTCTTTGTCTGGGATTAAATAATCACTTTCAGAAAGACACTTCTGTTCCATGGTGTTAACAGCTAAATATGTGTGTATATTTATATATAAACATGCACACACATCTGTGTGTATTAGAGCACGTGTGAATATGCACATACATACATACATATGGCTGTGCTTCATTAGAGATGTTTACAAAATATACTGAGTGTGTGTCATTTGAAAAATATTATTCTAGTACAGACAGCTCAGATTGGGCAGCAGCATTGGGAAGTTCCTTGTTGCCAAGTACCAGGGCGTGGTGCAAGAGGGATAATTTTCATCTTGTTTCCCTGATTCCCCTGTCCACAATACAAAATTCGATTTGCAATGACAGGAGCAGCTGCCAAAGTTTAGCTGGTTTTAACTGTACTGAACTTAATTAAATACTATTAAACCAGCAACTATTATCTAAATAAATCAGCAGTAGGAGAAGTGTGCTGGTAGCTGCAGATTGTAGCATGGTTATGGCATGAAATCTTGGGTGATGCCAACTCAGTAGTGAAGGTAAAACTGACTCTTCTCTTTGTGCCAGGACCTACCTGTTCCAACACTGGTCTGTGCACTGCAGGTGCCTGGGAGTTGAAAGTGGCCACCTGAGTGGGTGACCCAAAGCTGAACTTCTACATAAATAAACACAGAGCATGTTGTTACTTGCTTCTCCGCTTCCACAGTCCAATAAAATGTATTTCCTTTAATTATGCATAGTATCACAGCACAGATTTTGGACAGAAGGAACATTTGTCTTGCAAAGCATTGGCCTCCTGTCTCAGTGCAGCCAGTGAGTACCAGGCAATGGTGACCAGCAGGTTGAGGGAGGGGATTTTCCCCCTCTGCTCTCTTGAGACCTCCCTGGATTGCTGCATCCAGCTCTGGGCCTACCAACACGGTAGAGGACCTTTTGAAGCAGTTCCAGAGCAGGGCCCCAAGGATGATGTGGAGCAGCACGGCTATGGGGACAGCTGAGGGACCTGCGGTTATTCAGGCTGGAGGAGAGAAGGCTCTGGGGCTCCTCACAGCAGCCTTCCAGCTGGAGGGTACAGGAGTGCGGGAGAGGGGCTGTTCACAAGGGCACGGAGGGATAGGACATAGAGTAATGGCATTAAACTGATGCCAAAGAGGCAGGTTTGGATCAGCTGCGAGGAGATGTCCCTGTGAGCATGGTGAGGTGCTGGAGCGGGCTGTCCAGAGAAGCTGTGGGTGCCCCGTCCCTGGAAGTGTTCAAGGCCAGGTTGGAAGGGGCCTTGAGCCACCTGGTCTAGTGGAAGGTGTCCCTGCCCATGAGAGAAGGCATTGGAATGATCATTATGGCCCCTTCCAAAACATTCAATGATTTTAACAAATCAGCTAAAACTGCTCAGTGCCAAAGTGTTTTCCAGAATAAAAATAAGAAGGGTTATTCTCTTGGGAGGTGCAAGCAAGAAACCCCTACTTCCACACATTCAAAAAAGAAAGGTACCTATTTAATTTTTTATGTCACCTTTTTTATTACATTATGCAGAAGAAATATTTTTATTGCAGCTGAAGCTTCACGTCTCTGGGATATTTCAAAGCACATGAGGTAAATGAAACTAAATTAAACCTTTGCTGAAGAGGGAAAAAAGAGGTGGTAAATCATAATTCAAGATCATAACATTAGTTCTTAGTCTTCAAAATAAAAAAATATCAGAACATTAACTTCATTTATTTTCCATTTATTCAATGGAAAATAATATGTGAATAATTACAGTGGAACCCTGGTAAAGCAGATAACATTCTGCAGCTTACTGTGCAGCTTTTAGTGTGTGTGGCCAGCACTGTAAAGTACTGAAGTATGTGTAAATTCAAACATTTGTTAACCAGGAAAATTCTGTAGCTCTCCTTGTATTGCAAGAGAGACCTAAGGTTCAGTTCCATAAGTTTGTGTTTTCTGGGAGTTTGGATGCTTTGAGGATTGACAAAATCTTTTCATTGTATATCAGATTTTGCAGCTCTTGTAGGAATGCCCTAAGTGAAATGCCAGTCAAAGTGAACACATTGTCCCAGGTTATTATTTTTCAGTCTCATACTACTAGTTGAATACTCTGCCTCTGCAGGGTTTTTTTTGGCCTTTTTTTTCTTTTTTTTTTTTTTTTTTTTCTTAATTTAGAAAGATTAACAATAAAATTCAAAATCTGTCCATCCAGTGAAAGTAAATGCATTCCAGTAATGGAAAACACATAGCTCCCAATACCTGGGCACCCAGCCAGCCCAGCTTGGCATTAATCATACATATTCATTAATTCCCATTTAGAGATGAGTCAATTGATGTTAGCAGTATAAGCCACCATTCAGCTGTAGAGGGAAAAACAACACCAGTTTGGGGATTTCCTTTGCACTGGGAATACTGGATAAGCACACAATCCCTTGCCTGTATCTACTGAAGTCTGAGGCTACAGCTGGGTGAGGGGTGCTGAACCACACTCCCTCATACCCTGCACTCTTCTGGCACAGACAGATCTGCTGTCCTTTGTACCAGAATGCCAATTTTACCTATTTTCCTAGGCCTTTTATGGGCTGGAGGGAGCCAGCTGGGTGGGAGTGGGCAAGAAGTTGAGTTAAATCACAGAGACTCTCCTTTAGAAAGCTGATTTATATGTTTGATATATGACTACAGAAATCAATTTATTTTAAATTACTGAAATTAAAAGGCTAAAAGCTACTTATTTGCTGCATTTTTAGCTAGTGATAATAAGCCTGAGGGAATTTGTTGTAACAATTATGCTGGGAGTTTCAATACTCTGAATGCCTTAACTTTTGTTGCTTTATGGAGAAAAGTTCTCATCTACTGGGATCTTTTTAAATATTAATGGAAATTTTAACATGTGCTATAGAAAAAGATTTCTTTTGAAATATTTGGGATTTTTTCCAAAATTCAGTTAAAAAAATATTTTTATGCTA